ACTTCGACGTGATTCTGGGCATGGATTGGCTCACCCGTTATCGAGCTGACATCCGGTGCCAGGAGCGAGAAGTCACCCTTTTACCCTTTACCGATTAGCCCGTTGTTTTCAATGGGTTGAAGTCGAGGACTGTGCCGCGAGTCATCTCTTCTATGCAAGCTAAGAAGAGCCTTTCTAAAGGTAGCTGCCAAGGCTATCTTGTGACTATGGTGTCCGATGATGACGTCGAGTGGACTCCGGAGAGACTCTCTATCGTTTGTGAGTATCTTGACGTTTTTCTCGATTAATTGCCCGGAGGACCACCTGATCGCGAGGTCGAGTTCACAATTAACTTGGAACCAGGAGCTAGTCCCGTTTCAAAGCCCCATACCGTATGGCGCCGAAGGATCTTCAAGAGCTCAAGGCCCAAATCCAGGAACTGCTCAAGATCGGTTTTATTCGATCGAGTGTTTCTTCGTGAGAAGCGTCCGTCTTATTCGTGAAGAAGAAGGATGGGTCGATGCGTATGTGCATTGATTATCGCGAGTTGAATGCCTTTACCATCAAGAATAAGTACCCTCTTACTCGTATTGAGTATCTCTTCGACCAGCTGAGGGGATCCAGTGTCTTTTCGAAGATCAACTTGAGATCTGGCTATCATCAGTTGAAGATCTGGGGGTCAGATATCTCTAAGATAACGTGTTCCGTACCAGATATGGCCACTATGAGTTTGTGGTGATGCTGTTCGGACTTAGCAATGCTCAGGCGGTGTTCATGGACCTAATGAATAGAGTCTTTCATCCTTATCTGGACCAGTTTGTTATCGTTTTCATCGATGACATCCTAGCTTATTCACGGGACATTGACCAGCACAAAGAGCATCTGAGGACTGTGCCGGAGACCCTTTGCCGCGAGAAGCTGTATGCAAAATTCTCAAAGTGCGAGTTTTGGCTGGATCGTGTGGCATTACTTGGCCACATTGTGACAGCTAGTGGCATTAAGGTGGATCCTGACATGATTGAGGCGGTAAGCAAGTGGGAGACACCAAGAAGTGCCAGCGACATTCGTAGTTTACTGGGGTTGGCAGGATACTACTGGAGATTTAGGGCTTTTCGAAGATAGCTCAGCCACTAACTAACCTTACGAAGAAAGTCGTGAGGTTTGATTAGAGTCCTAGGTGTGAGGCGAGTTTCCAGGAGCTGAAGAAGAGACTCACCACCACACCTGTCTTGTCCATACCCGACCTTACTTTGGGGTTCACCATCAACAGTGATGCTTCGAAGATGGGCTTGGGTTGTGTTCTCATGCAGCAGGGGAGAGTCGTAGTCTAAGCTTCGAGGCAATTGAAGCCTCACGAGCAAAACTACCCCACGCATGACTTAGAGTTAGCCACAATGGTTCACGCTTGAAGATCTGGAGACATTACCTTTACGGAGGGAAGTGCGAGATTTTCACGGACCATATGAGCCTGAAGTACATCTTTACTCAGAAGGAGCTCAATATGCGGCAGCATAGATGGTTAGAGTTGGTTAAGGATTACGACTACACCATTAGTTACCATCCTGGGAAAGCTAATGTGGTAGCTGATGCCCTTAGTCGGAGGAGTTATGGCCAGCTGTCTTGCCTATTCACCGGGAAAGATGTCTTACTTCGGGAGTTCGAGCGACTACAGTTGGAGGCAGTAGAGTCGACTTCGATGGCCGGTGGTATGTTGACGAATTTGGTCGTGGGACCGAATCTTCAGGAGAGAATAGTTGCCGAGTAGCCGAATGATCGTTTCTTGTGCCGAATGAAAGATTTGGCGTCTAGTGGTCAGATAGGTGGATTCGCA